ATTGGAGACAATCTCATCTCTCCTCCTGAGAGAAAATGCGGGCATCCTTTTCCCCGCTAAGGGAGAAGATAAATAGGTACGATATCTTATGATCCTTCTGGGAACTTCAATTCTCACTAGAAACTCAAGAATGTTTTTAATTCATTTGATTCTAAAATAAAACCTGTGCTCCTGGGATTCTTTGAAGAACATTCAGCAAATCCTCCTCCTGTATCTGAGATTTAGTCCTCAAAAGCTGCTAAGAGAACAGGATACTATACTTATTTTAAAGGTACATTTCTCACCTCTGTGGGTTGATTCTACCTCAAAGTAGATTCTTATGAGAAAGTCCAGGGCTAGCATCTCCTTCTACAGAAGAGATTAGTTTATTCTGGGAGGTGGTTATCAGTATGGTTGGCTGACATAGGACAAGACAGCTGTGGAAACCACTATGGCTATGTGAACAAGAATGACCTTCCTGGGTGATCTTCCCTCCTGAGTCATTGTGTACCGAAGGTAGATTTAATGGGCACCTAGATGTCTCCCTCCCCCACCGTAGGGAACCTCTGTCTACTGTTGTGTGGCCAGGAGTTCCTGGAACTTCCCCAGCATCACTTGCACCATTACCTACTAACGTAATAGGGTGTGGTGATCAGAGCTGGCCCAACTGTGTCAATGAGAAGGGCTCAGAGAATGAGAGGCTTTATATCCAGGCATTGTGTCTGAATAAGGTTCTGAAACAGCCAACTTAATGAAAGGACTTTATATATTACCTAGCCTAAATGAAGATATTGATGTCCAGGGAAAGCTCTATTAATGGAAAAGAAAATTCCAGTAACAGTTACAGTAAATCTTTTCTTTGCTGAAACAGTGTAAAGTGTAAGTTTCCCACAGAGTTATTTCTTTTTGAAATCTTCCCAGGTTATCACCCTATTGTCATGATTGTCTGACTTGAAATCACAGTCTTTTACACAAATATCTTTCCTATCACAAAATAGGATGGAATGAGTGTCAACACTCCTGACAAGAGTTGGAAAAATAGAATAGAGCTCCATAGATCAGGAAACATTCTGGGTTACAGGACTGCCTGGGAAGAGAATTGCTCACATTGACCATGCAAACCTCGTTATCTGAGCCACTATTGTTTTATTCACTCTATTAGGAAGGTGACCTTTTAGGCATCACTACTGTGATATATTCTTCTGTATTCCAGTACTGCATCTGCTTAAGAATTTTAATCTGTCTTCAATTTTATTTTTTATGTTATTTATTTTTAAAAGCAAAATGGTACTAATGATAAAGATACAAATAAAAGGATTTATTAATTCAGACACAAAAATAACTAAACTAAAAAGTTAATGAACAAATATTTCTACTGGGTAGTGATAGACTGAGTTACCTTTGACAATATTATTATTCTTTATATTCAGAGATTAAATGTGTTTCAGGCATTGCTTATTGTGTCCAACTACATCTAAGTAGAATTTTGCAATACTGATGTGACTATCTCCCACTTTACATAATATAGGAATATATGTATATGTGCATATATCTCAAAAATCAACGTCTCAAACTTAATGAATATTTACATGGAATCCTCCCAAATTCAATCATATTTATGCAAGTGAAAGAATCTATGATTTTATCTCTGTTTAACTTTCAGTGATCAAATTCTAACTGTGAACTCCTCTAATAAAGTAGAAACTACGTCTTGGTCAATAAAAACTGACACTTAGAAGATGCTTAGTACATGCATTTTTTGAGCTATAAATGACAATCATCCATTTGACAAACATTCCCTGAGTGCCTTTTTCAGGTAAAACTAAACTAGTTATTATGAGACATAAAGATGTGCAGGACATATTACCCACCCACAAGACTTTCTGTTTGGTGAAAAGGCATCTCAGTTCAAGTAAATGACATTTGGTATAAACCCCTTTTTATCCTGAATTCTATCTTGAGGATTATCCACATCTTCATAGTGAGGATGTAACTCTTTTAACTGTGATTATTGACCAAGCCTATGCATTTACTAGATGCCTGAATACCCTCTGCATGTGAATCTACTCTAATTCCCAAGAGTAGAAAAGACCCTCTTTATAGGCTGTCTGATAACTAGCCTTTGATGGGGCCTAGAGAAAGTCAAGTAGGCTGCCACCTTTCTCCTTATGGGAACTGGCTGTAAACTGCAATAAAGTGGTTCAGATGAGGAGGGCTGTGACTCCATGGCAACACCCCTTCAGAATTACACAGTGAGGGCAGTGATAGCACAGTTTGTAACCACACTAGTATTTTTGAATGACCCATATGCATTTTCCAACTCAATATATACCAGCCTGAGAATTTACATTTACCTAAGCCTGATATGCTCTAGAGGAATATACAATAAGTCTCAGCACAGAGAAATATATAATAAATCTCAGCATTTTTAAAATTACTGAAATAATCCTATACTCATAAGAATTAAAAAAAAAGTGTGAACTTAAATTGTATCCATCATTTTAAGAGATTTAACTCATAACTATCTGGGAATGCATTGTGTGCTCTATTGAAACCTTACTATAAACTACCTGTGATAAAATGGCATTATATTTATGTAATATTTTTAAGTGATATGGTATTGATTATATTAAAATACTGTTTAATTTGTAATTCTTGTTAGATAAGAACCTTCTCCTTTTGAATAGTGAAGAGTCAAATAATTACAGGTGTTATTCACCAAGGAAGCAGGAGTTCCTCTCAAGCCAGAAACTGGAATTGACCAGAAAAATACTAGGTTAGATACTACAAAAGAAATCTGTATCTCTTTTGCTTAATAATATAGGTGTGAAGATGTCTAGAAACGAAACCTGAATAGTGGTGTCAGGATATTTTTTTTCACATGAAAGTTTATGGAACCTGGGGATTAAGAAATACCAACAAATGTCACATTATATTGTGTCAAGTCCTGGAATTAGAGGGTAAAATGGCTCAGGTAGGAGGTAGAATAAGAGAATGTCAACGATTAGCCAAGTAGCCACACACATTATAAGATGCACTTAAGCTTTGTGGGGTATGAATTTCCATTTAATATTTTTCTTCTTTCTCAGTATCTAACATCAAGCTGAGATAAGAATGAACCAAAGCAGGCTGATGTTGAGCAGGCTTTGTCAAATCATTAAAAGATGCTCAATGCCCCTTTGGGAGCCAGCATGAGAGGAGCAGCCGTAAAAATGGGACCGCCACATAGAAAAGGTGAACTTGGAATTATAGAGTCCTCACTGTTAAGTTAGACACCCCTTCCCACTGGGTTGTCCTTACAGATGTTAGTCTTCATACATCTGGGGTTTTTGCTTGTTTGATTTTTAGATGAGTAGAGACAGATACTTATACATAAGAGACATAAATTGTGTGATTGATTTGACTGGGCAGTTTCAAGTCTCAAAATTTATTATAAGGATTCATAAAAAAACACATATGTGTAAAATTTAATCAATGAAGTATTATATTGTACAAACCAAATGAGGAGATAACATGTTAAATAAATTAAAATATTTATATTCAAGGAAATAGAGGCAGCCTTTCAAAATACGTTACAGAAAATATTTTGACATGTAAAATTTTTCCTGATATGATTCTAAATGAAAGAAATACAGAAAATAGCACAGAGTTTGATATATATTTTTAATTCATGATATGTATGAAAATGGATGTCTAGTTAAAAGGTCTATCTGTGTATACAAATCATTAAAATCATCATGTGTTAATGTATGTTTCAGGGTATTGATAAAGTTTTTCTAAGAAGATTTAGAACCTTGATGTCAAAACTTCTTACAATGTAGGTACCACCTTATTCACACAATAAACAACACTCTTAAACCTTTAATCTATAAATTTAAAATGTTGAAGAGTCTGTAGTTTTCTAAGTAGCATAAAAGCAAGAAAATAATGTATTTGATAATAAGATGTAAGTTACAAATATGTATATATTGCTTAAAAATACACTACTGAATAATATCAAGAACATTTTCTTCAATACTAATCTTTATTTAGTGAAATAGATTTGACTCAACAAATGAAGTCAGTTAAGATATATTGGATTTTCAGAAGTAATTACAAGAATCTGTTATCCCCTATCACAATTTGTACACCTTCCCAAATTATATGTTCGTTCTTTTCAAAGAGGACATTAGAAATTTAGCAAAAATCATCATAAAAATATAAACTCTTAAAATCCAGATATTAGTTTATGTTACTTCACTATTATTCACTAAGCGTAACCATAACTTTTTGGAGAAAAGGCTGTGTCCATGGCTGAAGTGGGGAATGTACAAGAAGAGCTTGAAACATCTTATGATATCAGAAGTAAAGAAGAGCTCAAGAATTATGGGAACATATTCATAGGACAAAGGAGTAAGCTTGGAAGGCTCATATACAGGAAGACTAAGCAAGTAATGATAATAAATAATTGTAATCCCTTGAAAAAAGAAGTTATGAGTCCATATTGATAGATCGATGAGAGACACAGAAAGATGATAGACACAGATGCATAGAGTTAGATGCTAGGCAAATAGAATAATAGATAGATTGATAGATAGATTATAGATATTGAGCATTTCCTTACAGTGAAATAGACAATAATTATAAAAGCAATGAGGGAGTTGGAACACCACATTTTGCATAATCATTACCAATAATTGAGTCAGACAAGATAATCAGAGGATCCTGAAATTATTGGCTAAAACCTTTATGAGGAACAGAATATTTACATATTTATTTTAATGATTGCTCCAGAAGTTACTTTAGGGAAAAAATAATGATTTTTTAATGGAAACACTTGAGAGGCACAATCTTCACCAAGTATTCCAAGTTAGCATCACCAAATATGGGACAAATTAACATCATGCACCTACTTACAGAATACACTGAGGAGGATACTTGTTTTTCCCACAGAAAGTGAATAATTTGAATCAATGAGGAACTTCATATAATCCCAATTTGATGAACTTTGCATTAAAGAAATACTCTATGTTCTTCAAAAATATCAGTGTCATAAAAGGCAAAGAAAGGCTTAGTATCTATTCTAGATGAAAGGAGACTGAAGATAGATGGCATTAAATATAATAAGTAACATTGGATTGGGTCTTGGATGGGGATACTGTAGATTAAAGAATCATGTCAGTATTAAATTGCTTGATTTTGATAATTATATTCTGGTTAGGTTAGTGAGTGTCTTTGTTCTTAGAGAAAAAGTAAGGAATTTACAGGTAAATGGGCATTATGCATACAGTTGAATCTCAAATGGTTACAAAAGAAGTAATACATATATACAGAGAAAAAGAGAATGATAAGGCAAATATGAAAGAAACATTAAAATTTGTTGAATTGAGTGAATGTGTATGTGAGTTCTTGACATAATTCTTGACCCTTTTCTGGAAGTTTAAATTTATTTCATATTAAAAGTTAAAAACTGAAAAGTAACCAGTGTGAGGGAGTAGGGGAAGCTTTCAAGTAGAGAAAGGGCAATAATCTTTCTCTGAACTCATTTAGAAATAAACAACTTCACTTTTTGTTGATTGTCCAGCTCTGACTGTTTATCACGTTTCAGTCCTTGACAACTTGTCATTAGGGAATGGGGAGCAACCAGTCATGGGCCACAGAGTTCGTCTTGGTGGGATTCGAGCTCAGTGCAGACGTGGAAGTGCTCCTCTTCTGGATCTTCTCTCTGTTCTACATCTTCAGTCTGTTGGCAAATAGTGTGATATTGGGACTCATCTGTCTAGACATGAGTCTACACACCCCCATGTACTTCTTCCTCTCACACCTGTCCGTCACTGACATGTCCTATGCTTCCAGTAATGTGCCCAAGATGTTGGCAAATTTATTGAACCAGAACAGAACCATATCCTTTGTTCTTTGCATTATGCAGACATTTTTGTATTTGAGTTTTGCTCACACAGAGTGCCTACTTTTGGTAGTGATGTCCTATGATAGGTTTGTGGCAATCTGCCACCCCCTCCACTACACTGTCGTCATGAACTGGAGAGTGTGCACAGTCCTGGCTGTCTCTTCCTGGTCATGTGGATTTATTCTGGCTCTGGTACATGCAATTCTCCTTCTCAGGTTGCCCTTCTGTGGGCCCCGGGAAGTGAACCAGCTCTTCTGTGAAATTATGTCTGTCCTCAAGCTGGCCTGTGCTGACACCTGGATCAACCAAGTGGTTATCCTTGCTGCTTCTGTTTTTGTCTTAGTTGGGCCTCTCTGCTTAATGCTAGTTTCCTACATGCGCATTGTCTGGGCCATCCTAAAGATCCAGTCAAAGGAGGGCCGCACAAAGGCCTTCTCCACCTGCCTCTCCCATCTCTGTGTGGTCGGACTCTTCTTTGGCATCGCCATGGTGGTTTATATGGTCCCGAATTCCAATCAACGAGAAGAACGGGAGAAAATACTGTCCCTGTTTCACAGCCTCTTCAACCCCATGCTGAACCCCCTCATCTACAGCCTGAGGAATGCTCAGGTGAAGGGCGCCTTGTATCGAGCACTGCAGAAGAAGAGGCCCACTTGAAGGGGAGACAGAATGTTGTTTGATCAGGGATTTCCTTTTAAAATATGTGATTTGCTAATGCAAAAACTTAAAATATATGATTTGCTGAAGCAAATACTCAGAAAAATTTCCCAATTAGAAGGTTTATATCAAAATGGTAATTGCCCAAATTCTAGCTTTGAAAATGGGGCCAAGATACAGAGAGAAGCACATTTTCCAAACTTTAGAAACCACATTAGGGGATGTGAGAACTAAATTATCAGAATATTTAGTCTTTCTTTTAGGAAATTTTGAATTCTCTTTCTTTTTTAAAGCCAGGAATATTAATGTATAGAGAAAAAATTAAATGTAGGAAAATGATATAAATACATTTCTTTTGCTTTGTCTTTAAACATCTTTGACTTCTCATCACCTCGTGGTAGCTGGAAACAGTACAGTAAAATTAATACCATGAGAGAGAACTTCCAAATAGACTTGAAATTTCAACGCAGAAAATATTGCAGAGTTATGTGACTCTACCTCCCCAGTTGTGAGGCCAATGAAATGAGTTTAGAGAAACTCTAGATTACTTGGTGGAATAATTTAGGAGCAAAGGGAGAAAAGTTAGGGAAAACTTTAGTCTAATAAGAAACTATGTAAAAAATCCTAAAATATATTAAAGTTTTAGGATTAGGGTCAAAAGGAAATTCATTAGTAAATGTTTAAATAGTTCTAGAGGTAAGGGTTTTGAGCATTGCTCCAGCATTACCTTTATTTTGGGGGTTAAATTAATTTCCAATAAGGCAAGAGTTAATCCTGTTGAAGTTCTTAAAATTTTCCCCACCATTTTTTTTGTAATGTTTGAATCAATGTTTGGGGTGGCACGAAGCAGCACGAGACAACTAGGACTATTATAGCCAACATCATTTCTCTTCCATGGTGGCAAAATTTCCTCTGGATTTATGAAACCAGATTGAAAAACTGTATTCATGATGATAGTGAAGATAAAATAAGTAAAGGCTGCTCTTTTTTAAGATTCAATATATATATTGGATACTAACCACCACAATAAGTCTTGTTACCATCCATCATTATACACAGACACAAAATTTTTCTTGTGACGAGAAATTTTGAGGTCTAATCTTAGCAACTTTCAAATATGCAATACGGTATTAACTATAGTCACCATGCTGTATATACATCTCCATGATTGATTTATTTTATAACTGTCAGTTTGTACCTTTTGACCCCCTTAACCCATTTTTCCCACCCCCACCATCTGCCTCTGGCAACCACCAATTAGTTCTTGGTATCTATGAGCCGCGTTTTTTTGGATTCCACCTGTAAGTGAGATCATGCGGTATTTGACTTATTTCACTTAACCCACTGTCCTCAAGGTCATCCATGTTGTCACAAATGGGAAGGTCTCCATTTTGATGGCTGAATAATATTCCTTTATATGGTATATATATATATATATATATATATGTGTGTGTGTGTGTGTGTGTGTACAACACATTTATTTAACAATTCATCCATTGATGGACCCTTAGGTTGGTTGCTTCCATGTCTTAATCATCGTAAATAATGTTGCAATGAACATCGGGGTGCAGATGTATTTCTCAGTTTGTGCTTTTGTTTCCTTCAGATAAAAACCCAGAAGTGGAATTGATGTTATCATACGGTAGATCTATATTAATTTTTTGAGGAATCTCCATACTGTTTTCCCTAGTGGCTGCATCAATTTGTATTCCTACTAACAGTGCACAAGGGTTCCCTTTTCTCCACAGTCTTACAAACACTTATTATTTCTTGTCATTTTGATAATGGCCATCCTAACAGGAAGAGGGGATATCTCATTGTGGTTCTGCTTTGCATTTCCCTGATGATTAGTGATGATGTGCACACTTCATAATCCTGTTGACCATCTGTGTATCTTCTTTTGAAAAATGGTCATTCGTATTATCTGCCCATTTTCCGATCAGATTGTTTGTTTTGCTGTTGAGTTGTATGAGTTCTTTATATATTTTGGATATTAACCCTTATCAGATATATGATTTATAAATATTTTCTCCCAATTGTGCCTTTTCATTTTGTTGATGGTTTCTCTACCTGTGAAAAAGCTTTTTAGTTTTATATGAAATGTATGATGATGTTTATCATTCTCTATTTTTTGACAAGTCATGAAGACTTTATTTACCTTAAGTTAAAATTCTAGAATAAGTAAAAACTTAAACTAATTGACTTTCATTTAAAACATATATAGTACCCAAAGCATAAAATGTACAGTATTTGACACTGTGAATATAAATGTTGAAAAAGACAAGGAACCAAAAAGGTTAAGATATCTACAAGATCTTCTAGTTGATCATGTTTCAAACATCATCTCCTCAAAGACCAGCATATTTCAAAGATTCCCACTTGTCTTGACTAAGTGACTTTCAACCATTCCACTCCAGTTTATCTTTTTACCCAAATCACTTTACAAAATAAACAAAAATTAAGAATGAAAGCAGAATAGGTTTTTTTTTTTTTTCTGGTAATTTGGTACATGAGCCGTTTTCAAATGCTTTGGTGGGAAATTTTCTGACATAAAAATTTTTTAAATTGATCAAAAAGCAAAAAGAAATTCTTCTTGTCAGTCTGTCCCTTTTTATCAGGAAGGAAAGTCTTTTCCAGAAGCATTCTCTCTTCTCAGAATTTTTCTTGTATTCTATTGGCCAAAAGTGGGCTAAATGGCCATCTCTAAATGAGTCACTGATAAAAAGGATAAAATTGAGAGCTTCACTTAGATTAATCATGGTTTAATCCTCTCTGGCTCAGGATGAGGTCCACTTTCTGTTATAATTTTACTACCTAGTACCTGAAGAAATGAGTACTAGGTCAGTAAGGAAGGGGGTAAGGGCCAGAGGGCAGACAACTAGCAGTACCTGCTAAATGGCTTAAGATCTGAAGCAAGCCTTCTGAATCTTGAGAAGCAGGAAATTGAAGTGTGCTAATTATTCCATCCTCCAGTTTTAGGGATCCAATGGATACTCTTTACAGATAAGACATAATGTTTTTCAAAACCTAATGGCTACAATCTATAAATATAATGGAAAATTATTCTTATGTCAAGGAGATTGTATTAAGAATCTTATCTTATAGTTAAAAAAGGATTCTGAAGAAAATGAATATTTTAGTTGCATAGTAGGTACTTTTCCTTCCGCTACGTTAAAAAAGCACATATACTTAAAAATAGCATGAGGAGTTGAACTTATTTTTATAAAAAATATTTATCCTTATCTGTTTATTCTTCCTTTCATATATTTCTCTGAGAGCACAGAGATATGCGAGATTCCACTTACCGAATGTGTCGAAAATGGTTATATTTTTCCAAATTGTTTAACTTATTTTTATATTGAGAAACTATTCTTTTTACACAAAAAATAAAAGTCAAAATATTTTCCTAAAATATCATGTGATTACATTTTTATTAAATTATTCATCTAGCTGTCCAGTAGTCTTGGATCGGTATATATTCATGGAGAAATCTTTGGGATATTGAGCTAATAATATTGACGGTATTTCAAAGTGCTGTGTTCTGGAACAAGTTTAGATTTTTTCTTTGTACTTTTCAGAATTGTTGTTTTTTGTACATATGGCACTAATGTCCTTTTACAACAAAAAATTCCATTGTTTTCCCTAAAAGTGGGTGGAGAGTGAGGATGGTAAAGATGGGTAGGAACTTTTAAGAAAGAGGTCATGGACTGTATCTCTCCTGTTTACCGCTAGACATGAGCAAAGGGAACACAAATTTGTCTCAATCTGCTGTGTCCTGTAGCATCTATAACCTGTATTGTGCCTGTCACATTAGTGGTCTATGGTAAACATTCCATTACTGAAGATCTGGGTGGTGAGCACCAACTCTTCAACCCCCAAGCAAAATGCAATGCAGTGCCCAATCAACAGGTGGGAATTGCTGGAGAAGTCGACTGCGCAAGGAAGAAAAGCACTGGCACTTGGAGTCCATTCATCCACCACATATCAGCGGTGGCAAGGAGTTTGAAAAGAAAACACTTTATTAGGCCAATATATTCCTCACTTGACTTTCTAAGCAGGAAGTATGTATTAATTAAATGCTTACAGCTACAAGAAAGGTGGTGTTTACTGATTGCCTATTTTTCATTCTGCTTGGATTCTTTGTGCCCATTGCTATGGCCTTCTACACATGTCAATCCTCCTCAGCCATCTCAGATAATATATCCATCCCTCAGGAAATTTACATTCTCCTACTATTTGGACTAGTCATTTCCTAGCAATTCCATCTGGCTTTGTCCTGTGTTGGACTCCTTAGTTCATTAATCTCACGTCCTATTCTTTCTTGGTTTACTCCCTTGTTTTGATAGAGCGCATCCTTTATTATCTTCATATGGTTAAAAAGGCATACCATGACAGAAGTTATGGTGAAAAGAGACATCAACACTTCTAAGTTCTCATCATTGCTTATACTATTTTATCTTTTTCAGGGGCCCCATTGAAATTCTAAGTTCTAAGTGGACTTATAAATAAAAATAAAAAAGGACTCAAGGCCTGTGAAGGAGGAGTTATTGTCTTAGAGATGGCAAAATGTTAAAATGATGTATAGGTGCAGCTGTAGGTATTTTATTGTGATCTGCAAACACTTTTATCTCTAAACTGACCTTCATTTTATAAAGGTCTGTCACTAATGATGGAGCCAAGTATGCTTTGCAATATTTATTCTTACTAAATATAAAATAGTAATCATTATAAATATTTGTAACACTCACAAGAAGACTTAGACTCTCTACAGTAAATGTTTTTGCTCTACCCATTTCAAAGATTTAAGGCAACAAAGTGGACACAATTCATGACACCTCTTGGTAAGCACGCTAGGCTGTATTAAATGTCGTCATATTATCCTCATCAAAAGAAAAGTGGTAATTATTTGTGTCTGAATGAACAGGAACTAAATTTTTATCCTTAACTCCTTCTTGGTGTCAATGAATGAAACTTATTTTTCTGTAATGATGTTGCTTTGC